TCGTAGTGACGAGCTGCGCCTTACCTGTACCTGTTTTGACCCTGTTTAGGGGGGAGGGGGGGGATGGAAGAGGGATGCTTTGGTCGGGATGGGGAAGAGGAAGGGAAGGGAATGGGGAGGGGGGTGTAGGGGGGATGGGGGCAGGTGGTAATCGGGTCTTCCGTTGTGCGAGGTAACGACCCAACCAGGGAACGCCGCACGCCCGCCTCGCATTAGAATGATATCACAGCATAAAAGACCAACAATTTGTGTACAGAACGGGTCTAGGGGGGTGAGGAGGAGGATTCCTCACCGAGAGGGAGGAAGTCGGGGGGGCGGCGCTCCCCCCTATCCCCCCACCTAGTCCATTGTGCCCCCCCCTCACCTATACACTTTACGCACCGAAGCACCTCTTCTGTCATCCATCAGGGACAGGGGGGGTAAGGGGGACGCCCAGCAGATTAATATCGAGATGGTCGTTATGGAAGAGCTGTTAAGCGGAAAACACAACCTATAAGGACAGAGAGAGAGGGTCTTTGTCAGGACAATATCTTCCGTAAAGAGAGGCACCAGGGGCACGCTTGTCTCTCAGTCACCTGGTGTGGATCCTCCAGAGTAAATTGACCAGAAATTTGCTCACGGTAGACAAAAGCTATTGATTATAAAGCCTAATAAAGACATAAATAGAATTATAAAGCCTAATAAAGACATAAATAGAATTATAAAGCCTAATAAAGACATAAATAGAATTATAAAGCCTGGTGATTCAGGCCGGGTTGGTTTCAGCCTCGTGGACTTAGAAATGTATATTTTTTTGTTTGCCGGATCATGTGCATGAGAAGGTGAAGGGACGACGACGTTTTGCTCCGTCCTGGACCATTCTCAAGTCGAAGTGTCGACTTGAGAATGGTCCAGAACGGACCGAAACATCGTCGTCCCTTCACCGTCTAGTGTGTGGTCTGGTCAACATACTTTAGCCACGTTATTGTGACTCCTCGCCTGCATGTGCCTGAGGTGTAAGCAGCATGATGGGACGTTCAAAGCTATCCCAACCTAACCTGAAAAAATCTAAATTACCATAACCTATCCCTTACCTTAACCTAACCTTGTCTAACTTATCCTAACCCAACTAACCTTAACCTCACGCAACATAACGTCCCTTAATATAACCTTCCTTATCCTAATCTAGCAGAGCTAACCTAACCTAACCTTACCTAACCTAACCTAACCTAACCTAACCTAACCTAACCTAACCTCACCTCACCTAATTTTAACCTTACCTATAACTTTACCTCAGCCATACTTACCTAAACCCATGTTATGTATTCGATGCACACACCACATATTCTATATGTAGTGTTGTTACACAAAGATCTGCTAGTCCCGTTTTCTGTAAACTCGTTTGAAGGTAAACTGCCTTATCTAACAAAAATAATCTACCCAAATCTAAACTCAGCCATTCCTTACCTCTCACGCTTGTTTAGTGTGTGCATAAGTAACCCAAGATTCACACAGGAAGTTGGCGGTGATTGTGTCGTTACTCTCTAAGATCATCGATTGTTTCTCTTGTTAGTTGGTTTGGTGTTGGGCCTAAGGCCTATCGACCTCTGGAGGGTTATTAAGGCCTATCGACCTCTGGAGGGTTATTAAGGCCTATCGACCTCTGGAGGTCTATCAACCTCTGGAGGGTTATTAAGGTCTATCGACCTCTGGAGGGTTATAAAGGTCTATCGACCTCTGGAGGGTTATTAAGGTCTATCAACCTCTGGAGGGTTATTAAGGTCTATCAACCTCTGAAGGGTTATTAAGGCCTATCAACCTCTGGAGGGTTATTAAGGTCTATCAACCTCTGGAGGGTTATTAAGGCCTATCAACCTCTGAAGGGTTATTAAGGCCTATCGACCTCTGGAGGATTATTAAGGCTTATCGACCTCTGGAGGGTTATTAAGGTCTATCAACCTCTGCAGGGTTATTAAGGTCTATCAACCTCTGGAGGGTTATTAAGGTCTATCAACCTCTGGAGGGTTATTAAGGTCTATCAACCTCTGGAGGGTTATTAAGGTCTATAGACCTCTAGAGGGTTAATAAGACCTATTAACTTCTGGATGGTTATTAAGGCCTATCAACCTCTTGAGGATTATTAAGGTGTAGGAAAAATCTATCCCAAACTTCCTCAAACTCTCTAAATTTCTTATGCTTAATCTACATGTTAAATGTTACAACTTTTCCTAATGAATCAACATCGGAACATACGCCCAAATAAAAAAATATATATAGATTTTCTTCACTTTTCAAATAATCATTTAAAAATGAAAAATGTCACCAATGTGATTAGCTGGATGGTCAATGTAGAGAGAGGCTCCGTGCTGGGAGATCTCCCCTTTCCAAATTACTGTCCCCCCCCCTTTCCCATCCAAGAAGCTGATTAAAACATAAGCCTTGCTTCTACAAGAAGCAAAGTACAATGTCTTAAGACAAATTGATGCTCTGGTCAGAGAGCGTTCTCTTTCTCAGGTTATTTACACTGATGGCTCCTTGCACCAGTCCTATGGTGCAGCTGGAAGTGCAGCTGGAAGTGCAGCTGGAAGTGCAGTTGTTGTGACAGGGAGAGATGGTTCCTTCTCCCATGAGTGTGGAACGCGTCTAAGTAACTGGGCCGCCACTCTTCACACAGAATTGGTTGCCATAATCCTTGCACTCGAGCGCGTATATGAATCCAAAGTTGACACGCTAATTGTAAGTGACTCCTTGTCATCCTTGATTGCCCTCAGCTCCCCAAGGCATAACTGTGACGTGCTTATCTCTGAAGCTAGACACAGATATAGTGAAATAATCAATGATGGAGTTTGTCTCCTGTGGATTCCTTCCCATATTGGTCTCAGAATGTTTGATAGAACTGATGAGTTGGCCAAGACTTTTGCTCATAAAAAGAGAATTGATTACCATCTTGGACTGCATTTGAGCAGCCTGAGGGCAGTAATATTCCGGGAACATCAACACAATCTCGTAGACTTGAGGCAAAGTGAAATTCACACCAGTTACTTCATCTATCATTCTATTATGCAGGAAGAACCGCACGTCTATGAGTCATCCAATAAGGTTAGCAGACTTCTAGATGTTACCACTGCTAGCCTTAGGCTCGGCAAGAAGTACCTCTGGGTGTTTGCAACATTTGCTGATGTAGATTTGACTAAATGTAAACTCTGTCAGCAGAACTATTCGCATATTTTGCGTCATTATATAATGGAATGTGAAAAAATCGCTGAATTCAGAGATAACATCATCAATGGAGTCCAAGAAATGTGTAAGTACATCATTCATAATGATGTACTGCCCGAAATCTTAGCGAAGTATTCAACATTAGCTTACTGTAGGTGCAGCCTGCACATGACTGTAAACCTGCCGCCCAGTTGCGTGGGTGTGGAGTACATGACTGTAAAGCTGCCGCCCAGTTGGGTGGGTGTGGAGCACATGACTGTAAAGCTGCCGCCCAGTTGGGTGGGTGTGGAGCACATGACTGTAAAGCTGCCGCCCAGTTGGGTGGGTGTGGAGCACATGACTGTAAAGCTGCCGCCCAGTTGGGTGGGTGTGGAGCACATGACTGTAAAGCTGCCGCCCAGTTGGGTGGGTGTGGAGCACATGACTGTAAAGCTGCCGCCCAGTTGGGTGGGTGTGGAACCCAAGACTGTAAAGCTGCCGCCTAGTTGGGTGGGTGTGGAGCACATGACTGTAAAGCTGCCGCCCAGTTGGGTGGGTGTGGAGCAAGACTAGTAACTGTGTGACTCACCATAGATGTAAAGTACCTAGTATAGTGACTGTCGTGAGCCTCTTGTTGAATTACTTGCGATATAAAAATATTATTTATATGTATATGTATTTGTGTACATGGATGTATATATAAACATGTGTACGTAATATTAATAATTGTGTAATTAGATTAAAAAAATTGTCACTTGCTTAGCTAAAGGAACATAATGGGTTCAGTTCCTGAACCCATTATGTGCCTCTGTAACCCTTTCCCCCACCGCTCAGGGGATGGGTATGGGGTGCATAATAAAAAACGTAATTAAATTGCCTTGAAATTGAGTATTTAGAGCTGAAGAGCTCAGATTGAGCACAGGAAATACACACACAAGGTGGGACTAAGGATGGAAACTAGGTACTCCAGGATGGGCCTCAGAGACATTATAAATTGTTCATTGTCAGGATAGTGAACAAGTGGAACGTCAGGATAGTGAACAAGTGGCCAGTACTAAGCAGTGGCGGAGGCAGACTCCACTCCCACCTCCAAATATAGAACTATGGCCTCTGGAACCCATACGCCGGTTGATTAAGGGCTCAGAGGCGGTACCCAAGAGCCGTAGCTCTTCCTCCGCAACTAGAAGAGTAGAGGAGCTTGAGAGGTAACTAAACCCTCGTGTACCGCCCCGCCCCGCCCCGCCCCGCCCCGGCCCGGCCCGGCCCGGCCCGCCCCGCCCCGTCCCGGCCCGGCCCGGCCCGCCCCGCCCCGGCCCGCCCCGCCCCGCCCCGCCCCGGCCCGGCCCGCCCCGCCCCGCCCCGCCCCGCCCCGTCCCGGCCCGGCCCGGCCCGCCCCGCCCCGCCCCGCCCCGCCCCGCCCGGCCCCGGCCCGGCCCGCCCCGCCCCGCCCCGCCCGCCCCGCCCCGCCCCGCCCCGCCCGGCCCGGCCCGCCCCGCCCCGTCCCGGCCCGGCCCGGCCCGCCCCGCCCCGCCCCGCCCCGCCCCGCCCCGGCCCGGCCCGCCCCGCCCCGCCCCGCCCCGGCCCGGCCCGGCCCGCCCCGCCCCGCCCCGCCCCGGCCCGCCCCGCCCCGCCCCGCCCCGCCCCGGCCCGGCCCGGCCCGCCCCGCCCCGCCCCGCCCCGCCCGCCCCGGCCCGGCCCGCCCCGCCCCGGCCCCCCCGCCCGGCCCGGAACAATAACGTGAAGTAAAACAAACAAACAGTTAGCTTTCTGGTGCCGTGAAGCATGTGAGAGCGGGGCCGGGAGGGCGGACTGGCCGGCTCCTCTTACTGTTTGTCACTGCGGACTGTGTTTGATGAGCCGCCGCCTCCCCGGGCACCGCTGGGCACCGCTGGGCACCACTGGGTACCGCTGGGCACCGCTGGGCACCGCTGGGCACCGCTGGGTACCGCTGGGCACCGCTGGGCACCGCTGGGTACCGCTGGGCACCGCTGGGCACCGCTTGGCCCCACTGGGTACCGCTTGGCCCCACTGGGTACCGCTGTGCACCGCTGGGTATACCGCTGAGCACCTCTGGGCACCGCTGGGTACCGCTGGGCATCGCTTGGCACCTCTGTGCACCGCTGGGCATCGCTTGGCACCGTGCACCGCTGGGTATCGCTGAGCACGCTGGGCACCGCTGGGTACCGCTGGGCATCGCTTGGCACCTCTGTGCACCGCTGGGCATCGCTTGGCACCTCTGTGCACCGCTGGGTATCGCTGAGCACCGCTGGGTACCGCTGGGCACCGCTGGGTACCGCTGGGCACCGCTGGGTACCGCTGGGCACCGTTGAACACAGCTGGGCATCATTGGACACTACTGGGCATCGTTGGACACAGCTGGGCATCGTTGGACACTACTGGGCATCGTTGGACTCAGCTGGGACATCGTTGGACACAGCTGGGCATCGTTGAACACAGCTGGGCATCGTTGGACACACCTGGGCATCGTTGGACACAGCTGGGACATCGTTGAACACAGCTGGGCATCGTTGGACACACCTGGGCATCGTTGGACACACCTGGGCATCGTTGGACACAGCTGGGCATCGTTGGACACAGCTGGGCATCGTTGGACACACCTGGGCATAGTTGGACACAGCTGGGCATCGTTGGACACAGCTGGGCATCGTTGGACACTACTGGGCATCGTTGGACACTACTGGGCATCGTTGGACACTACTGGGCATTGTTGGACACAGCTGGGCATCGTTGGACACAGCTGGGCATCGTTGGACACAGCTGGGCATCGTTGGACACTACTGGGCATCGTTGGACACTACTGGGCATCGTTGGACACTACGTTGGGACACAACTATCGTTGGACACAGCTGGGCATCGTTGGACACAGCTGGTCACGTGGGCATCGTTGTTGGACACACTACTGGGCATCGGACATTGGACACAGCTGAGCATCGTTGGACACAGCTGGGCATCGTTGGACACAGCTGGGCATCGTTGGACACAGCTGGGCATCGTTGGACACAGCTGGGCATCGTTGGACACAGCTGGTCATCGTTGGACACAGCTGGGCATCGTTGGACACTACTGGGCATCGTTGGACACAACTGGGCATTGTTGGACACAGCTGGGCATCGTTGGACACAGCTGGGCATCGTTGGACACAGCTGGGCATCGTTGGACACAGCTGGGCATCGTTGGACACAGCTGGGCATCGTTGGACACAGCTGGGCACCGTTGGACACAGCTGGGCATCGTTGGACACAGCTGGGCACCATTGGACACAGCTGGGCATCGTTGGACACAGCTGGGCGTTGGACACAGCTGGGCACCGTTGGACACAGCTGGGCATCGTTGGACACAGCTGGGCAGTTGGACACAGCTGGGCACCGTTGGACACAGCTGGGCATCGTTGGACACAGCTGGGCACGTTGGACACAGCTGGGCACCGTTGGACACAGCTGGGCACCGTTGGACACAGCTGGGCATCGTTGGACACAGCTGGGCATCGTTGGACACTACTGGGCATCGTTGGACACAGCTGGGCACCGTTGGACACAGCTGGGCATCGTTGGACACAGCTGGGCATGTGTTGACAACCTCAAATGTGTGTTGTCTTTTTCCTTGCTTCTTGCAGGGTCGGAGTTCGAGCCCCGATAGTCCAAGAAGCTGGGCACTATTCCATCACTCCCTCCGCATCTTGGGCCATCATCTTTAGCTGCCTCGACGGGGACAGCAGGCCGCCGGCTCGTCAAAGGTCCCCCCGATTTTCCTTTAAGATTTTTTTTTTTTCTCAGATGAATTTTAAATCTCGGCATAAATCTTCGGCGGGTAGGCGGTTCCACGGGATTATAAACCCCATGTAACCGCCTACCCGCCGAAGTCAAAAATGCCAAGATTTAACATTCTTCTGGTAAAAAACATTCTGCTATGTTTTCTAAATCTCTAAATTTGTTTTCTAAATTTCTAATTTGTTTTCTAAATCTCTAAATTTGTTTTCTAAATCTCTAAATTTGTTTTCTAAATTTCTAAAAAATTTGTTTTGTTTTATAAATCTGTTGCCGATTTATAACCATGGGTAGAGGGAAGGGGAATAATGAGGGGGAAAGCGCCAAGCCATTACGAGTAAACAGCACTTGGAAGGGATCAGGATAAGGATTTGGGATGGGACGCGGGGGAGGGGGGGAGGGGGAAGGAATGGTGGCCAACCACTTGTGGACGATCGAGGGATTGAACGCCGACCTGCATGAAGCGAGACCGTCGCTCTACCGTCCAGCCCAAGCAGTTGGGTCCCCATGAGTTAAGAAGCATCAGTTTCCTGCCCTTTATTGTGGCTTGTTGAGCTCTAATCCTGCACTGTGAGCACAGGATTAAAATGGTACTGGCTGGTCGGAAAGGTATTGTGGTGTCTTTAATAACCTCCAGAGAGTGATAGGCCTTAGACTCACCACCAGACATGTTGGTTGGCAGCTTTCCTATGCTTGCGAAGGTCGATAGGAATATATAGGATAGGTCCTGGATAGGATAGGATAGGTCCTGGATAGGATAGGATAGGTCCTGGATAGGATAGGATAGGATAGGTCCTGGATAGGATAGGTCCTGGATAGGATAGGATAGGATAGGTCCTGGATAGGATAGGATAGGTCCTGGATAGGATAGGATAGGTAGGATAGGTCCTGGATAGGATAGGATAGGTCCTGGATAGGATAGGATAGGATAGGTCCTGGATAGGATAGGATAGGATAGGTCCTCCTGGATAGGATAGGATAGGTCCTGGATAGGATAGGATAGGTCCTGGATAGGATAGGATAGGTCCTGGATAGGATAGGATAGGATAGGATAGGTCCTGGATAGGATAGGATAGGATAGGATAGGTCCTGGATAGGATAGGATAGGTCCTGGATTGGATAGGATAGGTCCTGGATAGGATATGATAGGATAGGTCCTGGATAGGATAGGATAGGTCCTGGAAACACAAACCGAAACTGTCTCTATTTTCCGCTTGTTACAACTTGTAATAAAGTTGATACATCTTGGCTTATCGTGTTTATGACGTATTAGAACGTTGTTACAACTTGCTATATTGGTTGTTATAACTGGTTAGAAGGTGTTAAAACTTGTTCGAACGTTGTACCAACGTCGTAGTTTCGGTGTGTGTTTGGCTTAATTAAGCCCAACACCAAACCAAACGCCAGCCTACTTTGGCAAGTGTCAACAAATAACCAGGGGTCAGATTCACGAAAGCACTTACGCAAACACTTACGAACCTGTACATCTTTTCTCAATCTATGGCGGCTTTGTTTCCAATTATTAATGAGCCCCGAAGCACCAGGAGGCTCTTTATAACAATAACAACAGTTGATTGGCAAGTTTTCATGCTTGTAAACTGTTTAATAAATGTAACCAAAGCCGTCAATGATTGAGGAAAGATGTACACGTTCGTAAGTGCTTGCGTAAGTGCTTTCGTGAATCTGGCCCTAGTTTATCAGGGTCGACCGAAGATCTTTGTCTTATCGTCTGAGCTCTAAAAGAGGTAGTTTTAGGCAATGTTTGTAAGCAACATTACCGAAATTAAATGTAATCTGAACTGATAAGCTTTTCTGTAACTTGTCCTATCCTACCTCTAACCAGAACTATCCTAACATATCATGTCCTTTCCCGAACTGAACTATCCTAGTTTGGGGGGGTAGACATAGCCTCTATCCCTACTCTATTCTATCCCTTTGAGATGTATTTCTTTCTTGTCTTAATAAACATACTTGAACTTGAATTTGAACTATCCTACACACAGAGATCACACTAACGTGATGCATCAAATGAACAAATCCACAAGGGCCGTGACGAGGATTCGAACCAGCGTCTGGGAGCATCCCAGACGCTGCCTTAATCGACTGAGCTACGACAGTCGATTTAACCCTGTCGTAGCTCAGTCGATTAAGGCAGTGTCTGGGATGCTCCCGGACGCAGGTTCGAATCCTCGTCACGGCCCTTGTGGATTTGTTCATTGAACTATCCTAGCATGTCGTATCCTATCCCATCCTGTCCTGACGGCCTACGTAACTGGCTTTACGGTTGAGTGGACAGCACTCGGGATTCGTAGTCCTAAGGTTCCGGGCTCGATCCCCGGTGGAGGCAGAAACAAATGGGCAAAGTTCACCCTGATACACCTGTTCACCTAGCACTAAATAGGTACCTGGGAGTTAGACAGCTGCTACGGGGTGCTTCCTCGAGGTGTGTAACAAAAAAGGAGGTTTGGTCGAGGACCGGGCCGCGGGGACACTAAGCCCCGAAATCATCTCAAGATAACCTCAAGAAACCAAACATCTTAAAAATATTTATTTTGCTATAAAATCTTCCGCATGGATAAATTTATTATCAACACGATGAATAATAATTCATTGTGCCGGGGGACAGGAAGCCTGAGTGTATTCATACACGTTAGGCTTATATATCCCTCCCCCACCCCCACGGTCGAATTACTGCACCCCCCCCCCCCCCAGGATCCAACCCCATAGCAACCTGACTAACTCCTGGGTACCAATTTACTGCCAGGTGAACAGATGCATTAGGTGCAAGGAAATGTGCCCAACCATTTCTGTCCCGTCCAGGAAAAACCGCCTTCCCGAATGTATACATTAGAGGCGGGACTCGTATACAGAGTATATCGTATGTATACGATTATGAATGATTCTTATACACTGAGAGTTGTAACTAGCCGAGAGAGATCCTCTTGGACGTAGATTCGAACCTTCGTCACGGCCGAGCCGGTCGGCCGAGCGGACAGCACGTTGGACTTGTGATCCTGTGGTCCCGGGTTCGATCCCGTGGTCCAGGGGTCGATCCCGGGCGATGGCGAGAAACAATGGGCAGAGTTTCTTTCACCCTATGCCCCTCTTACCTAGCAGTAAAATAAGTACCTGGGTGTTAGTCAGCTGTCACGGGCTGCTTCCTGGGGGGGTGGAGGCCTGGTCGAGAACCGGGCCGCGGGGACACTAAAGCCCCGAAATCATTTCAAGATAACCTCAAGATAACGGCCCTTGTGGATTCGTTCATTGATGTATCACGCTATTGTGATTTCTGTGTGTAATTGAGAGTTGGTTCGAGAAATGGCTATTAAAGTTCAACATAAGCAAGTGTAAGGTGACGGGAACAGATGTCAGAAGACCAGAAGGATGATACACCGGCCATTGTATAATTTATTATACATTTATTATACAAGCTACGCTAGTATTGATCACATCCGGTCAAGACGGCTGTGTCTACGTTACCACGATAACGTAACGTAATTTATACATAACAAACGATATCCTTACGGTTATCGTGCGTTGGTTTCGTGGATCAGCGTCCCCGCGGCCCGGTCTCTGACCAGGCCTCCTCATGGTTGGTG